AAAGCTGGTTTCGTTGAAAATTCTTCATCAGTATAATCTTCTTATGGCCCAATCGTTACTTAATGTATTGTTAAAAAAAAATAATAGTAATGATAATTAGTTGATTGAAATAATAAAACTTCACAGGTCATAAATATATGCATACTTTCAAATTTACTCTCTTTGCTAACATTCAACCAATTAATTTCACTCTCCAAATAGTTGTTGGATAAAAATGCATCGGCCCTTGTTAACAAAAACCTAACCAAAGACTTGTCATTCAATAACATAGCAGAATCTTTTAACAAAGTAGAAGCATCAACCAATATATCTTTATATTCCTCAGAATAAGGCTTTAAATATAATTCTTTCGTTGATTCGTTTCTTTTAATCACATGATAAAATCCTTTTGCTAATTCCCTTTGTTCAGAATCCAACTTGTTCTCACACCAATATTCAAATTCTTCTTTAGTCATATCTTCTGGATAAAAATTGCCCCCTAATGGTTTATGAACTGGTAGATTTGGTGGATCGTCTAAAACTAAACCATGAACTCGATCCCACGGACCTTTCATCATATTAAAAAATAGTAGTTCATTATCCGTACGTGGACTTTCACTTCTAAGATATTCCAACGTATCTAAATTGCCTTTCCATTTTTGGCGAAGATAAAGTCTAATTCATATTAATATTTTATGTATATATTAATATATTTGTATAAATAGTAGATTATAATAAATTAGAAGCACTAAAAAAAAGTATCACATACCTATCAATTAATTTACCAAGTTGAACTAATTTTTTAAGAGCTAATGCTTCATCATTAGTTATTCTTGATAAATCTGCACCTAAGAAAACTGGCGAGTAGTTCGAAATAATTTTAGAAAGTAACTTTTTGGGGGGAGATGTATCATTGCCCTCTTTAGATAATTGACTTAACAACAATAGTAAAAAGAAACAAATGAATAAACATATGTAAGCATGGGCTCTGGTTCCATAATCTGCCATGTCTTTTATTATTAATATATTTAATTATTAATTAAAAAATTTGACTTGTCACGTGAATAAATACTAACGTCGATATAGATGCTTGAATCATTGTACAAAAAATTTTTTTTCGAATGTTGCAACCCTCAACAATAAAACGAAGATTGGAAACTTTTCTTAACGAATTTAAAAGATTAAGAAAAAATTGGGATGAACTTAATGATGAATGTCTTACATTGGCCAATTCATTTTTCAATACAAAATTACAAGAACAGTATGTTTAATTAAATTTTCTCTTGAACAATCAATTGATTAATATATTAATGTACATACTTGTGCATTTAAAAGAAATGCAGATTATCCAGAATATTGGATTGAAGAATTTGAAGAATTTTTAAATTTAAAGGAAAACTATGAAAAAAAAATGTCGAAAAAAGTCACAGAATTATGGAATTCTTTGAAATTAATATTTGATAAAATGGTGAAAAAGTGAATTTATCAAAAAAAAATTTTTTTTTTAAATTTACTTATTATCTTCCTCCCCTTCCTAATTAATAGATTGCTCAGTATACAAAAATGAAAATTCAAATATTACAAATGGAATCTTTGCTGGAAGAATCTTGTGAAAGCCTGGGAGAAGAATTTACATATGATACTTCGTTGTATTTAACCTGTCCTTTGGAAATATTTGGTATAAAATAATTTTTATTATATTAAATATATAATATGTGTGTCATATACATTATTCATTATTCAGATAAATATTTCTATTTTACTTAGTTAATCGTTCCATTACAATTTTTGAAATGTATACAAAAGAACTCGATTTAAAACAAAAAATAATATTAACGAATAATGAGATTGTTGTAGATCGTGAGAAGGCGATGATAATATTATCAAGTTGGATAAATCAACCATTCATTGATGATTGGGCAATTAAAGAATTTGAAAATATTTGTGATGTTGAAATTGGAAATAAATTCGACAAATGATTGTTTCATGATGATGATGATGATGACAAATTAGGAATGAATGAAAAATGTTTGGAAAAGCTTTTTTCCGAGTAAAAATAGAAAAGTTAGCTGATCGACATGCATAAACGAACATTATCTAAATAAGATTTAGTAGACTTTGTGTGTAAATTAATAATTTGTACAATATCTATATACGTCAATTCTCACTTTGTGTTTTTCGAAATTATAATTTGTAAAATGTATAATAACAATGAACATAAAAATTTAAACAAAGTAAATGGATTAATTAGGTTGTTTAATGGATGAAAAGCTTTGTCCGTAAATTTTTTTTTAGTAAAGGCATATTTAACTACGTATTTGATTCGTTTTTTGGATTCAATAGATTTATTTGTTTACGGAGAAATGTGTATTAAATAAAAGCATTCCCCATTTTGCCATACAAATAGAAATCCATGGGGGAAATTTTATAAAAAACCTAAAACGTGGATAAAATATTTGCAATTGTTTAACACCCAACGTTTGGGTAAATATTTAATTGGTTCCTGATTTTGTTGAAACAAAGAATTCAAACCCTAAATAAATGCGTCATTGTGTTTTTAGATATTATCTTCCAAAAATATTAGAATATTGTTTAATAATTAATATTATTGGAAATCGCGTATAAATAGTAGATTGAAATTTTCTGGTTGGAAAAAATTCTTCACTCCCAAAAAATAAAAAAATCTCTCTCTTCCTTTTCTTTTTTTGACAGGACTTTTCATTTTCATTCAATAACTTTCGATAAGTTATAATTACTACTCGTTGACCGAGATAATAGCATTACATTCTTCTCCTTCTATTCATCATAAAAATCGTCCCAAAAAAACATATAAGTTAATAAAATCACACTTTAATAAATTCTTTTTTATAACACATAAATATTTTCTCGTCGTTAACACGTAAAATGGAAATGTTAAATTCTGTTATCTCTCCTTCTTTTTCCCCTTTTTCACCCTCATCATCCTTCTTTGAAAAACCGGAAACTTCTAATAATAATCCTAATAAAAAATCACTTGATGATTTAAGAACAAAAATAAATGGAATAAATAATTCGAAAAACTGCAAATTTTCTGAAGATTTAAGCCTTAGTGAAGAGATTCTTGAAGATATTATTGAGTTTATGTCGCAACATCCAAAATTCAATCATGAAACATCAATTATAAATCCAGGAATTACAAGTCTTCAATATGCTATATGGGACATAGAATTAGATATTTTGCAAAATTCAGTCAAAAAAGATGAGTTATTGGATAAATTAAGTCAAATAAACGAAGACTTGTCGTTGAAATTTGAAGAATTGAAGTTAAAATATAATACACATTGGACTGGAAGCCGAATTAAAATGTTTAAAGGAGTTGGAATGTTTAATTCAATTTTCTCAAAATATCATTTGGATTTAAAATACGAGAATGTAAAGCCAATAACTGGAACAATTAATAATAAAAAATGTAGTGATGTGGTGGTTAAAAAATTGTATGATGGGAAAATTGTCGCAGAAAAAAATATTGGCAAAAACTTGTACAAAAAACAAGATAAGTCATTGTTGCAAGATGAAATTGTTAGAATGAAAGCTCTTGAAGATTGTGTTAATATTCAACAAATGTAAGTATAAAAATATGTTTGCTGATTATTAAATGATGACAATAGATAGTATTTATGTTAAATATCAATGCTAATGATAATATTATTATTATTATAAAAATTTAGTTATGGATATACGCATCAAGGTTCCTGTTATTATGTTATCAGTAAATGGGCTGATTATAATCTTCAATCATATCTTAAACAAAATAATAACATTGATTGGACTACAAAATTAAACATTGCCTCTGGAGTTGCAGATGCGTTGAATTTTTGTCATGAACGTGATATTTTACATTCCAATATTAAAAGGTAATTAAAAAAAAATTTTTTTCTCACTATTATGTTTTATGTAATTCCAATTAACATAATAAATGTATATGTATATATATATTTAGTGCAAATGTTATGTTAGATGGAGACCTTAATCCAATACTTTATAATTTTGGAACTTCTGAGGCATTTGGCATTATTTTTAAACCTGTAAATCATGAAAAAGATGATCCAAGGTAAGAACTACATATTATATATTATTACTATCATTATTATTAAAACATTCTTAATTATTATAATTATTTACTAAATATCAAATAATTTTGTTTGTTTAGATGGACAGCACCTGAATTACTTGGCAAAAAAAAGAAATGTACAACTGAAAGTGATGTTTACAGTTTTTCAATTCTGTTATGGGAAATAGACACACAAAAAGAACCATTTGGTGGTTACGGTAACTTCAAGTATGAATTTCTCAAAAATAAAATTATTTACGATCATAAAAGGCCAGAACTCGAATTTGTGGCTGAAGAATGCGACGAATATATTAATATAATGAAACAGGGATGGAATTTCGATCCAAGTAAACGTCCTACAATGCTTGAAATGAAAAGTCGACTTTTCGTATTAGAAAAACTTTATATCATGGAAGAAAGTGTTGAAAATGTTTTTGAGTCATTTTCATCCTCCTCTTCCTCAACTTGTTCCCATTCCTCAAGAGCTTCTTCTATTGCTACTTCTGTTAACGATGATTATCAATTATTATTATCGTCTAGTAATGATGACGGCAATAAATTATTATTACCACCATCATCAAAACCTAGATCAATTAGTGCACCACAAAAACTTGAAGATAATCATATTCATTCTTCTGATTGCGAAGATCTCGATTTTGATGGAAAGACACTTAACGAAGACGATGCATCGAGATTAAGTAAATATTCTTTCACAACATTCAGAGAACCAGTAGATATCGATAATCAACAAACTATTGAAGAACAACCGCAACAAGTTTTTGAGCAGAAAGATATTGAATGTATTGAACAACAACAATCAAAATCGTCCAATAATTTGCTCACTCAAACTAAATCAATTTTTCGTCAACCAGAATCTGTTTTAAAAGATGCCAAAAGGTACTACGCTCAAAAAGATTATGAAAACGCTTTGAAGATCTTTAAAGAGCATGAAGGAATTTATCATACAGCCGAATTAAAACGTTTGGTAGGATTATGTTATTTGAATTTGAAAAGCGAACCACCCGTTAGAAACAAGAAACTTGCTGCTAAATATTTGAATGAAGCATCAGAAGGCGGCGATCGAATAGCCAAATATGAATATGCAATGGCTATTCATAATAATAAAATTAAAGTTGAGACGCGTGAAAGATATAAATTTATCAAAGAATTGTTAGAAGATTCTGCTAAACAAGATTATGCCCCTGCATTTTTCAAAATGGGCCAATTTCATAATAATGGTGATTGTGATTTCAAGAAAGACCCTGAGTTAGCAAAACGTTATCATGAAAAATCTAGAGAATTAAAAGGAGAACCTAAAAAAAATCGTAACAACAACGAAAAAATACACAATCAATCAAGGGATCCTATCAGAAGACAACATACCAAGAATAGTTTATCTCTTTCGATCAATACCACAGGTACTACTAAAATTCAAAATCAACGAAAACATAAAAAATTTCGTTCCGAATTTAGCACCCTATCATTACCAATGAGTCGTTCACAAAGTCATGGATCATTTGTATAAATATAGATGTACATTATTTAGCATTTTTATAGACATTCAAAACATTTATTTTTTGCAATTACATATATGTGCATTTTTTCGTTGTATATTGGGAGGAGATTATTTCATTCATTATTTTGTAAAAAAAAAAAAATTAATAAAAATTTTTTAAATTTTGGGAGTCAAATATTTTCGTCTGTCATTTTATTGTGTTCCAAACAGATTAAGATTAGGAAATAAATTCCTGATTGAAAATTGGGAGGATATTTAAGATTGATTTCTGTTATTCAAAAAGTAAATAAAATATATTTTTTCTAAATATCGTTGACTTATTTTTTTCTCTCTTTACTAATTTAATTTTTATCAAAAATGTCATCGTATAAAAATCAGTTTAATGAGAATTCAACGCTCGAGCACCCAGTCAAAGTTGGTTCTTCAACAAGTGTTAATGATGTAAAGGATATCGAAATAAATGATGAAACAACTAGTTTATTGCCTCGACAACAAGGAATTGAATTAGTCAAAAAAAAGAAATTTTTTAGAAGAAATAATATTATCAAAGGTCTTATATTGGTTGCTTTCATTTCGTCATTTATAGTACTTTCATTGGTTTGTGTCTTCTTCCTAATACTTTTAATAATAATAATAATAATAATATTGTTAATCAAATAATGATATATACGTACGTACATGTAATTATAATAGGTTTTTAGAATTCAAGATCACATTAATGATTATTTAAAATATGTTGAAATTCATAAGAAATATGGAATATTGTTATATTTAACTATTTATATTATTTGTGTCTGGTTTTTTTTACCTGGGTGAGATTTTTTTCAAATTGTATTTTTTATTATCTATTATAATAATAATTATTATTATTATTTTATTATATAGATCTTTGATAAGTATATCAGCGGGATTCTTATTCAAACCATCAATATTAGCAGGGCTTGTTATTATTATTGGTGATGTATTAGCAGCACTTGGTACATTTTTGTTTGGAAAGTATATATTTTCGGATTGGGTGGTGACTCAAGTTGAAAAAAGACCAATGTTTAAAGCTTTAAATGCTGTGATAGCAGAAGAAGGTATTTACATTTCTTTAAAAAAACGGTTGATTTAGTTTCATCGATAATTTAATAAAGTTAATTGATGTTTAGGTTGGAAGATTGTAGTGATGTTAAGGTTGACACCTTTGCCTTTTAATTTAATAAGTTATTTCTTTTCCGTGAGTTCAATTAATGTAAGTAATAATGATGATGGTAATGGTGACGATGGTGACGATGGTGATGATGCATTATAAATAACGGCGAAGAAAAAAAATTTTTTTTGAATGTTGATTAAAACCTTGTTTAGTTTTTTATTAAAAGGATTATATTTTTCAAAATTTTAATGACTAGTTATTGACATTTCTTTGGGCAACTGTAATTGGTGTAATTCCAGGAACTTTTAATGCTGTATGGATTGGATCATTGGTTAAAAGTTTGAGTGGAATTGATAAACCAAATTTAGAAAAAAAAGGTATTATTTCATTCGTCAAGTCATGCATTCATCCCATCTTTAGCTTAATATTTTTTTTTATATGATAAAATATTCTTTTAGACATTGTCATTATTACAATGAATTTTATTATTGCTGCATGTTGTGTAATTGCATTGTCTATATTGGGTAAAAGATCTTTAAGAAAGGCAATGGTGAAATTAGAAGCTTCGAGAGACACAGAAGATGATCAAGGAAATCCACCAATAAATGTTCCAAAATGTATGATTTTTAAAATTAATCCTTTCAAAAAAATATTTCAAGAGTTTTTCAAAAAAAAAAATAACATCATCATTATTATTATTCTGCACAAACAGCAAATATTGTGGTGGATGAAGAATCAATTCTAAATTCTAGAGCAGGAAAATTCACATTTATCGAAAAAATTGTTTTGACAGTTATAATAACAATTGCTTTTCTTAATGTTGCTATATGTTTACCTTTATATTTTTATTATAAATCAAACGAACAATAAAATATTATCAATTGTTTTTTGAAACTATTGTTATTATTATTAATCGTTAAATCAATCCACTATCTATAGTCAAGATTTTCACAACCAAATTCCTCGCGAAAATATAAACATTCAAGACAAAAAAATTTTCCAACAAAGGTTTTTGTGCGTTAGCTATTTCCCTTTTTAGTAACTAGAATCTTTAATATGAACTTTCCATTTAAGGCAATAAAAAGTGGGGCCTATCACAAAGTTAGGTGTTACACGAACATGTAAATTTGAAAATTTGATATATTTTTTTTAAATCATTATAATATGGGTAATAAAAGTACCAAGATAACAACACAGGATCGTGCCATACTCGATCTAAAAGTTCAACGAGACAAATTAAAACAATATCAGAAAAAGGTAAACAATTGATGATAATAATAATAATAATAATCAATCAAAATATAATTATAATTAGTACATATAATATGTATATGCATATTCTTTTTTATATAATTTATTAGTTTTCAATATAAATTATTTATTGTCACTTAAATAATAAAAATATATTATTAGATTAAAGTAGTTGCAGATAAAGAAACTGAAATAGCAAAGAAAGCATTAAGTCAAGGAAACAAACGAACAGCTTTATTAGCTTTAAGAAAGAAGAAATATCAACAACAATTATTAGAGAAAACTGATACACAATTATTTAATTTAGAAGAATTGGTTTGTATTTATGATATAAACATTTAAATTTGAGAATTGTTATTGTTCATGGGTTTGAAAACATTGGAATTAAATATTTTGTAATTATATTTTATAATTATTTATATATAATTGAAAGACACAATCTATAGAGTTTGCATTGGTGGAAAAAGATGTTTTTGCAGGATTAGAAAAAGGGAATTCAATATTAAAAGAAATTCACAAAGAAATTTCAATTGAAAAAGTAGAAAAATTAATGGAAGAGACTGAAGATGCTATATCATATCAAAATGTATTTATATATATGTATTTGTACTTGAGTGGACGAGAGAGATTATTCATACAATGAAATTAATGAATATAATGTTATCAATTTTCAGGAAATTGAAGAGTTATTAAGTGGAAAAATAACAGATGAAGATGAAGATGAGATTTTGAAAGAATTAGATAAAATTCAAGCAGAAGAAGTAAATTATAATTATAAATACTATTATGTAAATCATATTTTTATATTAATTATATTTTTAAATTATATTAATAGTTTGAAGGCAAATTTTCCAAAGTTCCTGATACTCAACTTCCTACAGTCGAAGAAAATCTTGTTGTTGATCAAGGTAATTAATTGAATTTTCGATTCTATTTTTATTTTCAATTAATATTAATTAGATTTTCAATTTTTAAATAGAAGAACAACTAGAAACAAAATTAAAACCTGAAAAAGCAAAATCTAAAAAGAAACTGGAAGCTCCCTTAGAGGCAGCTTAATTTGATTTAATTTGATTATGATATACAGCATATACTGAAATATTTAATATTTAATATTAGTATTTTTATTTTAATAAAATAGAAAAATAATACATTAATTACATAAAAAAATAAAAAATAAATTATTGCAATTAAACTTTTTAAGACGCAATTGTAATACTTCAATTTTATAATAACGAGATTAAATTTGCCAATGGTTTGGTAATTATGTCAATGAAAAAGATTAATTGATAGTGAACAGCATCAGAAGATGCATTAACCAATTCTCGAAGATTTAAACATCTCTATTTTGTATACAACTCCTAAAATGTGTTTAATTTGAAAAAAAAACGTTAAGAATAATTATTCTAAATTATCACATCACATTTTTGAATGAACTCGTATCTATATTTATTTTTAAAAAATAAATTTTTTTATATTATTTCTCTCACAACTCATTCATCCATCATCTATCAGCCAAACTACATTAATTCATCAATCGAATCAAATTAACAAATAAGCATTTCATTTCACACCCATACTCTCCAATTTATTTTCAAGACCTGTAAATTTTTAATAATTTTTATTAATAATAAATAATACAACTAGATTAATTGTAATATATAATATAAACTTTCATACCATTTTTTCTCAATATAACATTTTCTTTTGATATATTCTAAGCAATAATAATATGATAGAAAAGATAGAAGAAACATTTTATTATTATAGTTTATTGTAATTTTTGTAATATTTATAATAGAGAATTTTCTCTTGCTTTTCTAATATATATATTAATAGTTAACAGTGATGAAATATAATTTTAAAAAAAAAATTGATAATGTAAACCAAAAAATGTTTAGGTATAAAAATAGGTTATTATTATAAATAAAAAAATCAAAATCAAAAAGTTTTTTCTTTTTTAATGATTATTTGTCCATTATAAAGTCCTACTTCCTTCTCACTCACAGCCGTCTTCTCCCAATTTTGTTTCTGATTTTTGTTGCAGTTGTTGATCACAATTAAGATAGTTACCAAGAATTTCTTTTACTTTTTCAATTCCTATCCAACCACATAAAGGTGTTTCACCAATAACATACTGTGTTTGTTTATTGAAAAAAAGTAACCCATCAGAACGATATCCAAAAGGATTCGAATCACTTATCAATGAAGAGATTTGTTTTGGAGAACAATTCAGAGGTGAAAGTGGTATAAACTTATAAATGGAATTGTTGACTGTTGCCATTGTTCCTAATGATGGGGCCGTAATTGGAGGGTCAACTTCATTAAATTTTGTAGTGAGCCAATAAAATCTATTTGATGATGATGATGATAATAATAATAAATAACTATTATCATTAAAAAAAATTATTGTTAAAGAAGATATGAATTAAATAAGCCAACCTAAATTCCGTATCACAGTCATAAATTGGATGACCTTTCCAACACATCATATCTAAGACATAAAATGTAAAAGTAGCTTGATCATAAACACAATCTAAAATACAATAATCAGTTGTTTTATTTCCTTTGTAATTGCTACCACCTGCCGGTAAATTAGATTCAAATACATCCATTACACCTCCTATATTTTAATTTTATAGTTATTAAAAATTAATTATTTCATGACATATATTAAAAAAAAAGTTTTCTCATTCATTTCATTACCGTTTCTTAATCGACTCATAGTATTTCCTAAACGTAAAGTTTTATCAACCAGACAATTAATACCTTAATTAATTGAACACAATTAATTAAATTATCAATAAATCAATACCTTTTGCTGATGTGACAAGACAACGTTTACCAACTGGACATAACACTACATACCAATTCTCCTCTAAATCATTTGGTAATTCATACATCCATTCCGCATGCATTACTTGATTACTGGATTAACCGATAGAATTGTTAATTTAACAAATTAAGTTTTAAAAATTGAGTATTATTCAAATACTATTATTATATAGACGATTTATTTACCTGTATGGATTTTTTTTTTTGAATTTTCGAAATGATCCTTTTTTAAATTTACCTTTATGCCTCGCTTTCTTGATTGAAATTTTATCATTATTTTCATCATCGTCTTGTTCTACTTCAAATCTACGTTTAATAGGTTTAGTAAGTAAATCAGCACTATCGATTTTCTTTTTTTCTTCTTCTATTTCTTCTTCTTCCTCGTCATCTGTTATTACTTCACTAAGTTTATACAAAGCAAGATTCCTAGCATGTGTGAAAAAATCACATTTTCGCTAAATGATTAAATTTGTTAAAGGAGATTATATATATAAATATTAATTAATATAACTAATTAATTACAGGAATTTCCAATCCACACAATATAAATGTAAACATATAAATAAACACGAGATGAATTATATACTCTTTTCTGTTCTTCTAAAGCTTGTTTACGTCTTTCTTCTTGAGTCTCTTTCTTACTTCTAGTTAGTAAAGGTGAGGCTTTATAATTTTTTGCTCGAAAAGTTGTTTTGTTTGTTGAGATCAAGTTATTTGAAAGTAACTCACTAAGTTCATCAATAGTAGATTTTGGTGTTTGTATTATTGCTGACTCGTCATTTTTGTTAAACCCGAGAAATTCTGCAGGTGCATCGACCTGTAAATTAGTTTTTATTGTGTCTTCAGTTGTAATGACCATTGGAACTCAAAAAATAAAGATATTAATATCGATCGATTATAAATTTTTTAAGGTAGGCTAATGATCTTCCTATATGAGACTAAATAAAGTTAGTTTTATTAAATAGGTATCACACACAGAGAAAAAGAATGCTCATGTGTAATTTTTAGCTTTGCTTAGCATTAGAAAACAAAACTCTACCCAATTAATACCCAATAAAGATTTGGTATCAATGAACTAGTATCATATCCTGCTATAAGAATATCAACTACATATGGATGGGCTCTTGAAAAAATTAATCAGCTTGGTACATGTATGAGCATACCATTTGCAGTTCATGGACATGGATCATCTTGTTGTTTATCGTTGTTGGATAGATATTATCATTTCAGAATTGACACTTGAGATATTGCTTAATAAATGTTTAGACGAATTTAAAAAACAGATTCATTGTTGATCATGCTAACTTCAAGGCAAAAATTGTGGATAAAGAAGTGGATCAAAGAGATTGGTTGAGATTCGAAATGATTGATTTTTTATTTTTAGAAGAAAAAAGTTTTATTTTAAAATGAAATACAAATTATTACTTAATATCTCAACCAACTATTAATTATTATTATTTTAATTCTCTGAATAAACGATTAATATCTTTTGGATCAAATTTTTTGGTGACTTTATTTCTATCTGGTAATTTACTTCTAACTTTAGTTTTGTCTCTAAGTTTATAACTTTTGCTACCACTACCGCTACCGTTATAATTATTATTATAATTATTATAATTATCATTATCGTTATCATCATGTTCATCTTGACTATCTTCAATAAAAGGTAAATTTCTTTTTAATCCCACTTTAATGTTATAATTATATAGCTTTAGTTCCTGATTATTGCTATTGTTATTAGGTATTATCAACCCATTTATATTATTAAGATAACTAATGTCTCGGTATTCAAGGTTCAAGACAGCAATTGGCTGATCGCTTAATCGTTTCAAACTACAAAAACCTTTTGTTATAAATTTTTTCGTAAGTTTTGACTCTTTAAACCCTGTGCTAATTGCCGTTTCTTTAATATGATCTTTTTGTTGCGATACATCAAAACCTGGTACTTTCACAACGCCATATTCATGCCATTCTGCTTTATAAAAATGTACTGATATTGTTCCAGGTCCGCCTCCAGTATACTTTTTACTTTTTTCTCTCTGATTATGACTGTGATTAATGAGATCATTAATATTATTGTCTTTATGAATATTATAAGCATAATCCATATCTTCTTCTTCGTCCACTCTTTTTTCCATTCTTTTATTTTTTCCTTTACTTTCGATTCTGCTTGTTTTTTCAACATTGTCATCACCGTTAATAACATCTTTTCCTCCTTTTCTTTCAATTCTTCCTCTTCGTCTCTTACTGCCACTACCAATAATATCATTGTTCATATTCGACGTAAAGAATTCAAAATAAAACTTCTTATCTCTTTCTTGATTCCAAAATCCATCCTCAACATAATAACAATTATCATAAATTTGGTAATAAGTATAATCCCAAACTCCATCAACAAACAAATAGGCTTTTAATGGTGTCGAATATTTTGCCTTTGTATATCCAAAATTTATACTGAATCTTTTATTTTCATCTGATTTACAGACTGCTGCGTATACTATTCTGTCACTTTTAGAAGTTAATAAGTTAGTTATTAGACGTGAAGATAAATATATAAAATTAAAACAATAATGAAATACTTAATTGATAGATGTATTAATTAATAAACGAACGGGCGGACGGACGGACGACGAACGTACGTACGTTTTATGAATTTTTTCCGTTTCTTCGTCGTAAATATATGAAGGACCTGTAGTAGTTATCTTTATTCAAATAAGATAAAAAATCAATATTTTTGTAATACATATACGTCCACACATATACAATTATTTTGCAATATTATGTGGATTTTTTAATGAAAAAAAATCGAATACTTACCGTTTTATTCTCTCTATATTTTTCACTATATTCTTTTAATGGTTCACCATTTACAAAAATTTGTAAACGAAAACCTTCCAAGAACATATTAGTTATAAGTATGAATTGTAGTATTTATGAATTTTTCAAATAATAATAAAGACGAAAATGTGTATTGGAAGAGAAAGAACTCGTTAGAGTAAAAAAACAATTTCAGATTTTTTTTAGATTTTGTTCACATGTAAAAAAATCAATTTATACTAATAAAATACGTGGTAAATTACGCTTAAAGTAAATCATGTGGTACCTAAAAGAAATTACGAGTTACTTGAAAATTTGAGGGAAAAATTGATTTAATTATATATTTAGTTAAACCAAACCAACAAATAAATAAATATGGTGATAACAATATATTATTATTATATGTATTTACACACATGTAAATACAAATTTTATTTTATTAATTTTTGAAATACTGAATGTCTGGCTGGGCTATGAATTTGATGAAGTTCATAAAGCAAAGAATTTGAAGAGAGGTAAGCAAATAAGCATTTAGAAAATATTTATTTTTAATTAGTTGAAAAAATTAGGTATTGTTAATCGAAAGCTTAACCATCAATAGAAACAAGCATATAAGTTACTTGCATTGAAATTGGTTTTAATCACAAGAATCACCTCGCAAACAAATTCACTCGTTAGATCTATGGCCTAAATTACCACTAGTATAAAATTCGACTATGCCGTTCATGCGAAATTTTGTTATATTAATATACACTAATACTATGTTGGTTGACTTTTGACAGCATGTATCTTTAAATTCATCTCTAGCAAACGGACATAGAGACATTCTTAATTTAAATTCACAAAAGGGACAATTAATATAGACAGATAATGTAGATAATATAGATAATAATAACAAGAAATTATTAACATTATTGTACCTTTTCTATTTAAAAATATGCCAAAAACACCAATGATTGTTTATTCAATAGATAAATGAATTGATGGTACAAAGATATTAAACTTTATAATAATAATAATAATAATAATAATAATAAATATATATTTTATAAGGTCACATCCTTGAGTGGATTTTTTTTTGATATATCTTGATATGCTAAAAACTGGGTAAAGGAAATTAAGGTGATATTTAATATGCTCAAGTAGATAAAGTTTTTAAAATTATGATGATTAAAAGTTCCTAACCGTAATTCCTGTCCCATTCGAATACAATTATGGATGCTCGTAATTATTTCCGAATATTTGTGGATACTTCAAACACTCAATCATTTTGACAATACAAATAAATATCCAAAATAATTCCAAATTATAAGGGAAAAATTATTGACCAAAATAATTATGAATACTCGGAATGATTTTAAATATATTCGAATATTCATAATAATAAATAAATTTTGATATTGTAAATAAACAAAACATTGAACACAAAAAAAAAATTATTATTAATTAGACTTGATTTTCTAAAGATATATACAAAAATTTTACAAAGATGCATTCTTTATCACATTTTAAAAATAATATTTATGAATATTTAGAAGCCTTACCAACAAACACTTTAGATAGCTTGTACAGAGAACCTGCTACATGTTTAGCTATTTTCAGGTAATTTATATATATATATATACATTTTTTCTTTCTTTATAACATGAAAACCAAAAAATTTAATTTTTTCGATATATATAATAATTATATGTTATTAAAGGCTTTTACCACCATTAGCAAGACATTTTGTGATGACATTATTATTTATACCACCAACTGAATTAAGTATTACAAAGGATGATTTAAAACTAATGGTTAAAAATCAAGAGGAAGCAATACTGTAGGTTTAATCTTGATCAAATATAATTATAAATATTTTTTTATAGAAATATTAAAAAGAATTATGTTTTTAATAGCAGATTTGAGGATGCATTAGAAAAATTGTCAAAATTACATATATTAATAGAAAAAGATGGAAGAATGATAATGAATCCTCAATTTCAAACAAGTCATCAAAACTGTTTAACTGGAGGGTAGTTATCTTGAATAATTATTATAATATTTTCTAATTAAAATATTAAAAAGATAACTTTTAAAAAAAAATAATAATTAGAGGAGATCATCAGAGTTTTGGTACACCATCTTCAACACATGGAAGATATATACCAAATAATATAGTAGCATTTTTAGATAATTATGCTATGAAACAATGGGAAGAAATATTACATTTCATGGTTGGTACAGAAAATCGGAATGAGCCAAGTAAAGGTGTTTTAAATATATTAATCAGATCACAATTAATGAAAGAGCAGTAAGGTGTTTTTTCTTCAAATAAAATTTCTGAATAATATAACAAATAAATATATTTAAATTTTTTTATAATAATAGCAAAGGAGAATATGAAATTACCAATAAAGGATTTCAATTTTTATTACAAGATGTCAATACACAAGTTTGGGCATTTTTATTACAATATTTAGAATTAGCTGATCAAGTAATGCACATTTATATATATATATATATATATTTTTTTTTTTTTTTTTAATTATAATATATTTAAAAAATTTTATTATAATTTATATATAGATGTTGAATATGAATGTAGTGGAAGTTTTAAATTTTTTTTTCATGTTGGGAAGTTTAGAATTAGGAAAGGCATATTTAATTGATAAATTAACTGAAACTCAAAAATGGTTACTTGATGATTTAATTAATTTTGGTTTAGCTTATAGAAGAAAGGTAAAAATAAAATAAATTAAAAATGTTCCTTTACCCAAAAAATATTTTGTTATTTAATTATACTATATATATCCTAATAATAATTAAGAAAACCTCTTCAAGATATTATCCAACAAGATTGGCTACAACTTTAACATCGGGAAATTCAGCTATTGGATCCACTAGTTTAGTTGGTGGATCGTCGTCATCATCATCGTCATATGTTACTACTGGTGGAAATGAAAGCGGAGTTAATGATCAAGGATTCATCATTATTGAAACCAATTATAAATTATATGCTTATACTGGTAATTATTTTATATTTAATATATATCATGATGAATATATTGATGTTTTAATATTATTTTTTTTCCAAAATAAAAAAATAAAAGAATCATTATTACAGATTTCAGTTATAAAATTATTTTGTGAATTGCAAAGTAGATTTGCAAATATGGTATATGCTAATATAACAAGAGATAGTATTAGATCAGCTTTAAGGCACGGAATCACTGCTAATCAAGTATGTAAAATAACCAATAAATACGAGTTTATATGTTTTTTTTCTAATAAAAATTTTTTTAATGAAAAAGATAATATCGTATCTAACAAGTCACGCACATCCACAAATGAAAAAACAAATGCCGTTACTACCACCTACAGTTGTAGATCAAGTTAGATTATGGGAGATAGAACGTAATAGATTGTCTATTGATGACGGTAATATATAAAAAATAAACAGACAACACTTTTTATTTATATATCATTTAATTAATTGATTACCTTTATTATTATTTCCAGGATATTTGTATAATGATTTTAGAACTCAAGCAGACTTTGATATGCTTTTAAAATACTGCAGGAAGCTAAATATAGTGCTATGGCATAGTGAACAAAAGCGTATGTTTTGTGTAACAGAGAAAGGTCATGAATATGCAAAAAAATTTATAAATAAAAGAATTGCTCAAAGAAAAGCCGATGTTGGTAGCGGTGTTGGAAGTAGTAGTAGCAGTAGTAACAACAGTTTAGGTAGAGTTGGTACTGGTAGTAATAGCGGTGGTAGTAGAATGAGTACTGGTGGTGATACTCGTGCAAGAGTTAATCCAAAATAATTTTTATTTATAGGAATTTAATTATTGTTATTATAAATAAAAAATTATATTTATATATATATATAATACATAGCAAAGAAAAATATTACAAAATTTATTATATTATTATACAAATTTTAAAATTAAAATAATTAAATAACATCATCATTTCATCTTCTCCTCCGCTCAATAAAGCATTTCTTCAACCTTCTCGTCCTCGTCATCGTATTCTTCTTCTTCTTCTTCTTCTTCTTCTTCACAAATATCTGAATCAGGCTCACTATAAGAATGCAAAACAATGGTTCCCAAAGTTAAATTTGAACCAGACCAATTGGTTGAACTTATAATAGGTAAATAAGGGTGCCAACTAGCATCCCTAGTAACTGGTCTATAAAGTAATAGCTCATTACGACCATTATAAAAATAATTATAATAATTTTTTTGTTTTTTGGCTTTTGATACATCCAAAGTTTGAATTACACGTCCATCAAGACTAAAAATCTAATAATAATAATAATAATATTGATTAAATCGACTGTATATCTTAAATATTAAAATTACTACTTACTCTAATACAACCATCTTCAGAACCTGTATATAAATAGCTATTTAAAAAAGTTATTTATTTATTAATTTAAAATAAAACTATATTTCTCCAACAATAATAATGTACCTCAATATAAAATTATTCTATATATAATTTTAATTATAACTATAGTAATTACCTGTGACCAGTGCTAGCAGGTGAGAAATGACAACGAATCAATGTCCTTAGTACACTATGGCCTCGATAAGTCATAACAGATACATTTTGTGGATGTTCAAAATATATATCGTCTGGATATCTCATATGCCTAAATATTTTAATTTTGGTGGATGTCGAATATTCTCACGGGAATTCAAATTGGCGGAAAACTACACGATTATGAGCCTTAGTGTTAGCATTTTGAAAATTCCGATACCAGTTCTAAATTTACCATTCTTCTTGTAGGGTTTCTATTCGAATAAGGTTTATTCGAATTATTCACTTTATTCGTTATGAATTTGAGTATTCGAATTACATTGAAAGTTTATTCGAATAAAACCATTTTATTTTTATTTTTCATTTCTGCATGGTGGTCCTGGTATTATCATTACTTGGGTGATGCAATTTATTTAAGGACAATGGTATCAAATGTATTACATCCCTATTACTATCAGCTATAGAAATTTTACATAAAAGATACGGAAAAAATTATAAATTACCAAAAAAGAAATTTTATTCAAAATCCATTGCGACAAGAATTTGAAAAATTGTGAAGATAAATATATATACAGTATATACATATATTATTAAAAAAAAAAAATAATAACATTATTATTAAATTTAATTTTTTGAATATTAAATTATGATTATTAAACTATTGTATTATAAATTATTTGATAAAAGGAATTAAAACAGGTGTTCTTTTTCGATATTCTATATAATCGTTGCCAAAGAATTTGATTAATAAAGGTTCTTCCTCATCGATACGATTTTTAAAGAAAGAATGTAAAGCAAACAGGAATCCAATTAAACAGATAGGATTGCATAAAAAAATTTGTGTTCCAACCGCCCACCAATAAAAGCCAAAATATGAAGGATGTCTTAAATAACTATAATAAGATTGTAAAGATATATAAGAATATAATTAATTACAAGGAATATAAGAAAATATAATATTGCATATGGACCAATCACATAATACAACTTACCGGTATATCCTTGTGGTGACAAGTGTATGTTCTTGTCTTTTTACATATTGAATACTATGAGTGAAATTGGATTTAGCATGACACATCGCTAAAGTTCTTGCGGTTTGTCCGATCAGTATTAATGCAAAACCTAATCACATTATAAATATACTATTATTACTATTTATAATAAAACACTATCAAGTTGTGATGATGATCATTTTTAAACTCTTTACCTGTATAATGAAACAACCTTATTGTTTTTAAATTAGGGAAAAAAAATAATTCTATGGAATACTCTAAAACTCCTGCTGTATGTGCGATATGATATGGCCTACCATTATTCAATAAAAATGCTAATAATATATATATAATTATAATATTAGATATCATAATTATAATTATTTAAAATAAATCTTCTATATATAATAAATATATTTACAATCTAATGATAATTTGTCTGAATTGTACATTGCTGTTATGATATATTCTAATATATGAAAAATAGATAATGTAGCAAAGAAGACACCAAGTTGAGGAATAGTTTCAGAGTAATATGCAATTGCAATAGATCCGCCAGTTACAACTCCAAATAAATAACTATATAATGCAATGTTTTGTGGTGTATGTTTTCCATCCAAAATTCCATAGTCGTCGACATCATTTTTTTCTAGTAACGGTTTTGTTTTATATTCATTTGATGAATCCCGTTCATCTAATGACATGGTTTCTTGTTTAATAAAGGAAGTATATTTATTTGTGTTTTTTAGAATTTGAAAAAAAATTTTTTTTGTTAAATTTGAGAGTATTATATTAGTATTTATAAAAAAAAAAAAATACAATAGTAAATTAAAACAATATTAAATTCGTGGATCCATTCATTGACAAAAATGAAAATTCTAAAAATCTACAATATTAACAAACAAACAATGATAATAAAAAAATCTTTAAAAATTAAATATTCTATATATTTCAATTTTATTAATTAATTAATTTAAATAATAGTAAATAGTTATAATAGTTATTAGTATATTTATATATATATATATATATTAATATATATTTATTCATTTTTCACATTGAATCATCAATTGTACTAAAAATCCCTTTTTTAGAGAATATATCTATATAAATTTTAATTCTTTCATAAGCAGCAAAAGTAACAGCTTGTCCCACTCCCACACGCATTAAACGAGGAAACAGTCCTTTATAAAAAGCTAAATAACCTTCATTCTTGATTAATGAACCTGTAACTGATTTAAATCTTTTCCATCCTGTTTCTGTGCTTTGTGCACGTTGAATACGAGTTTTTATTGTATCAATTGGTGCATTCGCAATTGGACCTAGAAATAATAAAATCGTTTTGGTATTAAGAATAATAGTAATGATATTATTATCGAAAGCAAAAAATTAATTTACCCATTGCACCACTTAATCCACCCATTAATAAATGTTGGTAACTTGGTAATTCTTGTCCTTCTCTTGTTTCTTGTAATCTTTTCATTAATTTTTTCATTTCTTGATACACTGTAAAATTTACTGCTTGATTCGTTGCTTGTCTAAGAGCCGTCAATGTAACTCCACGGTATAAAGTCAAAATACCTTCCTCCTTAACAATCGTGAATGCTGCATGTGCCGCATTACGATATTTCGGAATGTCTAATGGATCAGTCATAGAATGTTGTTGAGCTTGTAACCGAATCTTAATCACATCCATGGGAGTAACAACAAATACTGCTTCTGTGGTACCAGCTAAAAGCCCAGCTATATAGCAAGAAATCAAGAAATTAAATTAATCATATAAATAAACAAATAAAAATTTTTTTTTAATGAAATCATACATACATAAGAATGTAGCACTTGTTGAAACCTTTCCTGTTGTTTTATTAGCGAACCATCCTTTATACATTTCAAAACTTGAGAAACGAATAGCCATCTTTGGCACAATCCCAGTAACCACGGCACCTAAACCTTTATATAAACCTAAAGGTGTTTCCCTTCGTATGATATTAATTGCTACTGTAATGAAATTTGGCCTTTGTGCCTATTATTCACATATATATGTGTGTGTGTGTGTGTGTGTATTAGATGTGCAATATATAGATAAATGCAATAATATATATGTTTATGTATTTAATAATTGATATTATTATTTACCTTTTTACTTAACTGCATTCTCACTTTAATTGTATCCAACGGATGACAACATAATGCCTCCGTTAAACCAGCTCCACCACCTGCGAGAAAATGGGTTGCAAGACTTTTTTCTTTAGGTTTTGACATCTTTTTATTATTTTATTATAATTTGTTTTTTTTTAATTTTTTTCTTTGAAAAAAAATATATTGTTGGGACACATAAATATAAAAACCCCGGAATTTATTTTAGAATATTTAAATTAACGTCATAAATTCTTGAATTCTTTTCTCTCTATTTTTTAAATCAATTCATTTTTTTTAGTTTGAAAAAAAAAAGGTTAGTTATAAATAGTAAGATAGATTGTTCATCTATATATAGAATAGGTAATGGTAATGTCAAAATAATAACAAATGCGAGTTGCCAATCGTTTATGTGCATGATCAGTTTTAGCGCTTGTTATTGGGAACGAACTACTCTGGATTCTGACGAGAATTTAATACTTTTAGTAACAAAAGGAACATGTGCATTCGTTTATTCCCATTGCCTGTTGTTCGAAGATGTGGACATCCTAGCGTTAACTACTGATATGTGAATAGACAGTCTGGTGAATATATTGCCATTTGCTATCACAAAATTTATATACTTACTTACAATTAATATTAGATGTGGTTTGAAATATATTGGTCATAGAAAATCGACACATTATCTTAAGATCACAGATCATAGAAAGACAAAGATAACTCTAATGAAGGATATTAACATTGGATGTTTGGCTACTGGAGAGTTATCTTTTAAAAAAAGAAAAGATCATCTCTTACTTGTACACTTGTTTATATACACACGGTAATTACCACTAACACTGCCGATTAGTTCAAGAACAAGGTCACATTGTTTTGAATTTCTGGAGAGAAAGTAAAAAAAAAGAAAACATATGGAGGATTTTAGCCTAATTATTCCTGCAAACTAACTTTTACACAAAAATGGCTGTATTTACCCTTGACTTGAGCTAGACTTGTGAGAAATAAAAACGGACTATATTATTTATTATTGTTCATAATTCGAAACGATTTTAGTTATTATTTACTTAAAAGACTATATTAATATATATTTGCAGCCGGGAAAATTTACTGCATACAAAAAATATTAACATTATAATTTCTTTTTATTTCAACAGCCAAGCACAACTTTAACCGGCTCTGGATTACGGATAGAAAAATATAATAATATTTGAATAGACGTGGTTTTTTTTTACATTAAATCGATGATAATAATTATTATAATAATAATAACGGTCGCATAACAATTCTTACTAACTGTACACCCAATCTTCGTACATTCATTTGGAAATTAATTTGTACAAAACTTGCAGGAGTTAGGAGATTCTGTTTCTCGTCGGATAGGCATCTCCAATGAGATCCAACGGATTCCTAAACTCACAACCCTTGCATAAGACCAAAACCATCCGCCAAAACAGTCTGATCTTCTTGGGACATCATGAGTTCACGTTACACCAACATCTTCACGACTCAAGGTTTTGTTCTACAGATCGTCTGTTTGTCCGAAGGCCTATAAACACGAACTAGGTTCCGAAACAAACATTTGATTATCGGGATGCTGATTACTCTATAGTCAACACTAAAAACCAATTAAATATTTATGAACGATATAAACTATGACAATAAAAAACAAATTTAAAAAAAAATTTCTAATAATTACTTGATTTTCCCTCCTCACTAAAATTGTTCTTTCGCTAAACGAAGTGGAGAAACCGCATACGAATCATTTGAAACTGAGGTTACATCCGGAAAACAGTAACAAATATTATACGTATATTATACGCAATTGTAGAGATTAAGCAAATAATAATATATATTGGGGAATTCTCTAGACTAGCAAAAACAGTTCCGGGGTTCTCTGTCCAAAATTCAAGTTTTTTTTACATAATATATCACTATAAGATCCTGTTTACTTAGCACAGTTGTTGTATAAAATCTTGGTTAGCGCATATTTTGTGCGTGACAAAAATATAATCTCTAAATTTGTGCTATATAGACAGTTACACGGCGAAAAAAGATTTTTGTGTATATACAAATCAAATGAAAGATTGATTATTATTATGTAAATATTTGCGGTTAGATGAGTCATTCTAACAAAATCATCCAAAACTTTAATAGTGTAATAGCGAGAAAGAATTTAGTAAAGTCCTTGGAATACCAGTCCATAATCCATAATATTTTGGTACACCTCGACCTGGGAGCTCAAACTTGTCCATAAAAAACCACATAGCACTTTAACAAAGGTTTGAAAAAAACATAGAAGACAATCCTAAATCATTGCGTAACCTTGGTTTTTCTTCTCACATTCCAGCACAAAGACCTTTATACAAAAGGAGAGTCTACTTAAGTGGTGCTTAGTTTTAGTAGAAGGAATCACGGATAAATGGAAAAAATATAATGGCAGAGATTATCATTTTCAAGATGACAATGCCGTTATGCATACCGTACGAGATGTAGTTGCTTAGATTCAAGAAAATAAAGTTAGAACACTAGTTAGTTGGCTTTCACAGTCTCCTGACTTGAACATCTATGAGCGGAACCCACTCAAAAATTTGAGAATAAAATTGATAAATAATATAATATTTAATATCGAGTATGCATTAATAGTAATGGTGGCTCTACAAAATATTAAAATAAAATTTTTTTGGGACTTTTGGGAGGTGAGCGAGTATATATGTCAACTTCCTCTCTTACAATTTATTTATTTACTTGTTATTACTATAATTATTAGATCATTGTTAAAATCAATAAAGAAAATCAAAAAAAAAAATTTTTCAAATTAATATATACCAGTCGTGGGACATGTCACAGAGAGTGTAATTTCATATGTGAAATTAAAATTTCAAATCCGTGTAACAAATCGGGTTTTAAAAATATCTCGACTTTCTAATAATAAACTCGAACTTCACTATTAAGATAAAAAGAAACTACACCATTTAAGCTTTCTAATCATATATTTTTATATCTGAGAACGCTCTCTATATAAAGCTATGGCTATTTAAAAGTAGTGGTGCTTTTTCACTTCAAAGTTGTGATTATCTACCAATATCGCTTTAAAAGACTTGATAGTAACATACAAGGTATAGAATACTTTAAGCTTTCATATGGTTATTACTTTATAGGGGGTGTTGGTTAATAAGTTTTAGAGAGGCTCACGAAAACTCTTTCAGAGACTTTTAATATTATTCACATAAAGATCATTCACTGAATCTTTTTTTACAATTAACAAAAAAAATGAATAAATTGAATGGACTAAGTATATCAATTATTTAAAATAATAAATTCTATAGGTATATTATTTATTTGATGAATTAGAAATAGAAAAAAAAAAGTTAAGTATTTTTGTTTCTTTTGTATTTATTATACCAATGATCTTTAATTTGTTTTAAGTCCAAGAACTTGAATAATTTTTTAATTCCATCAATATTCTTCAACAAAACTTGCAGGCAAAAATTATGTATGTTGATCTAACTTTTTAAGGATTTCTTTTTCTTCATCTGAAAACACCCTTCTTCGAATTACAATTAGATCT